AACTGATCAGTTGTCACAAAGTCTTAATTCCCTGTGGTTGCCCAATGTCCAATATTATTGTAAGAGCATAAAACCCTCTCTCAACCTCAGAAACTATGGCATATACATTTGCATGTTAGATCACCACTACACTTAAAACTACATTGTTGCGAGACTTAAGTCTTTGTACTGTTCTTAGCTAAACTAGCTCCTTCAGGTCTCATTTCAAAATCAGTCACTAACTATAATTCTCTTATACTTTCACAGAGTATTCACCATTATTTATTTTACTTTTTACATTAAAACACTTAGAGAACAATCTCAACTCCGCTCCTACCAAAAATATTAGTTGTGAAAAATACCCTAAAATGCAGCCTCTATAGGAAAAAACTAAGGGAAATGCCTGCCAACTCACCATCCATCATACGCCCACAGACCGATATAAAATGCCATTCCAATTTTTCCAACATCTGTAGTTGACCCAGCAAATCCATCCTTCCAGTGTTCAGTCTTTCCTTTAGACATAAATAATTTGAAGAAAATTAAGTCAGAATACAATGGTTGTGTGAAGCGGAAATGTCAATGGATAGTATTTTTTATGACAATGAACATTTTTTGTACCTTTTCCAAGTTCAACAAAGCCAATGATAGTTATCATCACAATACACAAAAGCTTTGCATATGTGAAAATGTCCTGAATTCGAGTAGCCCACTTCACACTCCAGACGTTAATAGCAGTGAGTATCACTGAAAAATAGTGAGAATATTAACAATGATATTAGTCATGGGTCGCCATCAGATATTTGTTACAACCAAAATTGATTTAGAATTCTACATGATGTGAATCAATCATTTCTCATTCTGAAATTGTTCATTTTTGGCCTATCACTCTGCCTCTCGGAATCACCCACTTTCTCCGGCAAGTATAGTTATTTGCGTGGGCCAAATAAATCCTTTATTGGTCAAGAATGTGTGGTAAAAAACAGCTGAATAGTTAGTTACCTCATTCTTTTCTTTGCGTTTTAATGGACCTTGATTTTGTTGTGGTCTATAAAAACACAAAAAAAGAACTTGGCCAATAACCAACTATCTTGATTTTATCAAATTATGCTTGGTCAATAGTGCATATGTAAGGGCCAAAGTTTAAACGCAGGATATTTCATTTTCCTTCTGCTTGTACAGTGTGCTTATTCTGACAAAAAAGCCACTTTGTTAGTCAAAAGAGAAGATTAAAGTCATAACAACAACCAAAAGACACTATTTATTACATGCTGTAACTGTCAAAGTCCAAAGGGGTTTCCTGAGTAAATTGAGTCAATGAAGGATAGGGAGTGTACCAATCAATTTATCAATAAAGTGAATTGATGGTGGAAAAATGTTATTTAAAAAATGTAAATGAAAAACCAAGGCGTTCATTAGGCATCAGAAATGAGAGAATTCTTTGTTTATTACACAGAATTCTCTGGCTAACGTTAAGTAGCCTATGACTATTTTTAATTTAGACATGGAGCCCCTTTCAAAATATTCTCCTGTAATGTTACACCTTTCTCCGGCTACATGTGTACTAGAACTTGTAATGAAAACCCTGGAAAACTATTTTAGAGGTATCTCTTTTCCCTCTGAATTAAGATTTAAAGATAGATAAACCATTTGGGTTTTTAAGAGGTCTCCTTTTTTAATCAATACTTAAACGTAAATGCTCTTAAAATTTGGGCGCATACTATATTGCTCAAGACATCTAAAACATTCAAAACTATACTTAAATTTCTAAATGCGCTGAATATGTGTGCTCCAAGAAAAAACACAAATTTTGTAACAAAAGTTTGCAGTTTTCCATCAAAAATGACGGATTTTCAAGGGAATTTAAGACGTTGTTTTGATTAAAGACTAGATACACCTGTATTGCCCTAAAAAATACTTTCCATATAAAATTACGTCTAATGAGTGATTCAATGATACAATCGCCCATGTGCAAGTAGAAATCAAAAACCTTTTATAATCTCCTTATGAGCATCATGATATATAGCAGCTTGAGTGTAGGATGCATAATGAATGAAGGGGTTGAAAAAAATAACACAAATAAAAGGGTACACTTTTTTAATTGATCAGATTGACGGCAATGATACTCTATTTTTGGGTAACCAAAAACTAAATTAATTTTACAGGGCAATATCGTTTAGGTTTTGCACATTTTCAAAGGACTGTTTTCAATATCTTCCCCCATATTTTTTTCTCTACTATTTTTGGAATGAAGAAATGTCATGGAAGTTCTCCAAGCAACCCCACGTGAACTAAGGAATGTTAAGCTGGATTGCTTCACACTCCAATGGATCAGAATAACAAATATCTGACGCAATCATGAAACATGGCGACCAAAATATTACAAATGGGATCGTCATCTTTTGCGATTCGTAAAAGTACAATCGTTCAATAATGATAATTGATCGTATTTCAAGTTTTAATTCAGAAAATAAGCTCGATAAAACCGTATAGCGATTTTTTTTAACCAGATTTTAGTCGCAGTTTTCGAGCTGAAAGCACGTGGTTGGGAATAAAAATTGAATTTGTCGGTTTCGCTCAAGGACTTGAACTTAGTCTATACAATTTTTTCATTACTAAAACATAAAGGAGTTAACGGCCGGTAACCTTGGTGGTATCTCACGGAAAACTGTAAATAAAAAGCAATTTAGTTTACAAAACAGAAATTCCCGCCAAGCCTTAGAGCAGGTTTGTCCACGTTTCTACCCGCTGCGACAATGAACACAGCTCCGTACAAAACTAGATCAATACAAAAGCCACATTTCGCTTGCTACAACAACGTGCGAAACAAAATAAAACAAGACAATCACGAACTTATCCTGGTTTATAATGAATCTAAAAGTAGTAGTAGTAGTAGTAGTAGTAGTAGTAGTAGTAATCACTTACCCAAGCACGAACAAGCCAAAAGCTTTAACAAATAGGTCGGGGCTGGTGAATCAGGATAAAACGGTTTGGTCACATACTCAGCGAATATCAATGCGATGATGGCGCCTGAAGCTGGTCGAATGATCAGCACTGAAGTCCAAGCAAACAGATAGGCAGGGATCCTACCGAAAGCTTCCATGAGATAAGCATATTCGCCGCCCGACTTCTTGAAACACGTTCCCAATTCTGCATAACAGAGGCTACCAAACAAAGCTAAAGCGCCACAACCAAGCCAAACAAGTAGAGAAGCCCCGATTGAGTTTGATTCCTCGAGTATACCTTTCGGCGAGACGAAGATACCAGAGCCGATGACTGTACCCACAATAAGGCCAATACCATTGATAAGTGAGACGTTCTTTTTCAAGGCGATTTTTTCGGGATCTCCGCTTTTCTCCTCGGCTGGTAAAAAGGGTTCCTTCGTTTTGTCGAAGGAATTCGACTGGTCAAGGCTTTCGCTAGACGCCGATTCATTTGCCAGCTTCTCGCCAACATCACCGTTTACGACTGGAATAGGAGGCATGGTCGATCAAAAAGCACAGAACAACAAAAAGGTTTCACCGTACACACTCTCTTGGGAGCTGTTGTACCTTTGCCGTTCAGCGCGCGAATATTCAAAATCAAAACATTGTATGAACTCTAAAACGCGGAAAAGCGCGGTTTTTCACGGTCTCTGGTTACAAAACATTTGTTTGATTGGTTTTAAAAACAATAGAGATAAAGGTGTCCAATCAAATTTGAGTTAAGTTTGGCGCGAAAATTTCTTGCGTCACTCAACTCCACGTGAACTCCACGTGTAACAACAACAGACTACTTCCTCGGCTGAGAAAGCAAGACTGAATTTTTAAAGAACTCTCCAGTTAAAAAAAAGCCATGAAACCCTGTTTGGTTTCTTAATTCAAGTGGGGTAATCCTTAATTCTAAGTCTCTAATCTGAGGCAATGAGCTGTAACAGGTTTAAAACTATGTTAGACTGGAGCATGAAACATTTCTTTGGAATCGCTTTTGATGCCTTATATTTTGCGAAGTAAACAAAAAGATACACATGTATTTGAAAATAATTGAGACGGTCCGTAAAGATCACCTGCTAAATGAGTGGGTTGAGTTTAAATATAAAATTTAAATTATTCGCCCGCTTTTTATCTCACAAGATCACTAAAAGGCACACAAGCTCTTTTTTAATTGCCGCCGCGGTCATGCCTCCCTGGTGAGCTTAAGCAACAGCGACGGCGACTGCTATGAAAACGTCACGTAAAAAGTGAATTCGCGCTGCTTCGAAATTTATCGCGCTTAAATTATCATATATCGAAGGTCAGGAAAGAAAAGGAAACTCGTTGTCTTGTGATCACGTGAAATTGGGCATTTTCACGTCGCAGACGTGCAACGACGGTCTTTCATGAATTTCAATATAGTCCCTCAACTTCAGAAAAATCGGTGAACATTTGATAAATTGAACGAGATGAAGTTTGAAGCAGCTCGAATTCACTTTTTACGTGACGTGTTTCCGTCACCGTTGTTGTTGCATTGCTTAAGCCACCTAATTTCAATCGAAAGCAATTTACGCTGAAAAAAACATACATCAGTTACTTGTAGTATGGTTTCGAAAACCATTGCTTCTCTCTAACTCAGTGTGGCGCGTAAATTTAAACAGTTTTAGAAAAGAATTTGCCCTCGGGGCACGAAAAGGACCAGCTTATTGACAGACAACCAGATGGCTCGCTGATAAATAAACGCAGTTGAATGGACAAAACGTGTTTGCGAGATTTCACCCGCTAAAACGACTTAGACACAACCAAAAGCCTTTTGGAACATTTTTTAAAAGTCACGTCAAGAGTTTTTCTTCTCTCTCCAACCAATCAATCCATCGTAAAAACTTTTAGCGTCTATATGACCTATATGTACATGCAACAAATATGTATGCTAATTGCTGATCACATTCAAGTGTCGTCTTTCTACAAAAGAAAAAGGAAGTTATTTTCGTAGACTGCATATTTTGGTTTCTGTCCACGATATTTTTGGTGGGAGGGGGGATGGTGTCAGCGGTAGGAACACATCGGCGCAAGAACCATTGATCCGCGCTAACTAACACATTTTTGTTTTTTTTTGTTTTTGTTTTTATATTTTTTTTTTTTTGCATTACTTTCCGGGGAGGAGGGTTGCATGACGAGCCTAAAAATGGCTGCGAAGGAGACTATCTAAAGTGAAGCAAACAATAATCTATTTACAAATCGAGAAACAATTGTACAGTGATCATAACGAAACTACAGGAGACGGTGCCTCCGAATTCAATATGCCGGTGGAGCTTTTAACAACGTAACATTAACAACGCTGAAAGTAAAAAGAAACGAAATGAATACATGCAAGAGAGGAAAAGAGCTCCTCTCGTGATACATGAGATGAGAAAAAACATGCGCCAATTGAAATGGGTGTAAACAATCTCTTCCCCGCCCCAGGGTCTCTCTCATTCGGTGCCCTAAAGCGAGAGGAGACTGGACGGAGGGAGTCATATAAAAGGAGCCCCCCCGAGCCCGCCCATTTTAGTAGAACCTCGATATACCAAAGTCCTTGACTCCTATACTTTATAATAGCATATTATGTGGACAGAAGCCTTGATATAACGAAACCTTGTGATATTTGTTGGCTTTCACATGACGTCACTAAAATTCAAACTAAAAAACTCCTAGGTGATCTTTTTTATCGCCTTTTTTTAACCCAATAGCAGAGGGATACGTTTCCACCGACATCTTTTTGGGGTGGTCTATGTCTTGCGGGGGCAAATGTTCTAGTCTAGAACCTGTAGTAGTACCGTATTTTTCAAGTATATGGTGAATGTTGTTAGGATCGGATACGTTTAGTGCAGATGACTGACTGACCGACTTACCCTCAAAAAACGTTTCACTTTGGTTGTCAGACGTTTATCTCCAGGTAGAGACGTCTTTTCCTTTAATATTAGGGACTATAAGATCCAACTACGCGACAGCAATGAGAACGTCTCTTAAAAAGTGAATTTGCGTTCTTTCAGTCTTTATCGCAATTATTCCTACCACTTGCTTTGTCAAATGTAGGCGAACCCTCCTGGAGTTCAATTCCGAGGCATCATATCCGAGTAAAGATAGACAAATAAAATTTCGTCGTTGCTTGTTTACGTCCTCCATAAAACGCGAAATTAGGCGTGTTCATGTCGTAGTCGTGTAAAAAACGGGCAAAGAAATGTACAAAAAAGCGTGGTGCACGTGCAAAGTTGTTGTTTTGCTAATAAAATCTATTGTTCTTTGACGTTCTCGTTACTATCCGCGTCGTTGGATCTTAAAGTCCTTATTATCATTCTGAGCGGCAAGCGTTTAAATACAAGGTGGCTGAACACTGGTTTAGAAGTTTGTGAGCATATGTCATTTGCCAAATCATGGCAAGAGAAAGGTTGAAACTTGGCAAGTGAAAAATATATTGATGAAAGATTTTTATTGACAGGTAAAATTTGACGTTTTCGTAGTTTCCATGGAAACATGTACGATTGAATACAACCTTTAATTTTCACTTCCGATCAGTTTACGTAAAATTCGCTCATTAGATTTTCCGGTAAACTTGCACACAGCTTACTATAATTAATCATTACCATTTGAAACTTATTTGACAGAATTTTAACAAGGAGTTTTTAGATAATCGATAATATAATTGTACTGTAATTATTAAATGTGTCACAAAATTAGTCTTTTCAACTTCCATTTTAAAGTTCTCATTATTTAAAATACGATAAAAGTAAAAATTCTGCCAAATATCGCAAAATTTTAATGAGTAGATTTTGAGAAATCGTCTTCTTTGTCTAATTTAAAACACGCGCTACCGCTGACCGCCCGCAAAACTATGTTCAGCCACCTTAAAACGTGGTTAACAATGGGTTTCTTGCGGACCAAGAAGCTTCTCGGAGCTAAGTATGAATTCAATATATGAAAAATGGTCTGTTATAATATAATGTTTTCTTTGCCTTTCAGCTGGCAAGACAAGACTTAGAGTGAATAAAGAGTAGCAGTCGCAGTACTGAGTCAACAGGGACACCTGAGAGATCTTTTCAACCACGTCAACCCTACGAGGACCCGGCTTACCAAACGGGGGAGTATTCACTCTTGTTACTTTCGCTGACACTGTACAATATCGCTCTCCATGTATAGCTAAAAAAGCTGGAAGCATCACCTTTCCCCGTTTAAGTCCCTATATTGACCAACATCGATTTTCTACTAGCAAAATTAACACATAATCAAGAGATAAGGTTATGAGAACTAATAAAATGATCATCTAAGGGAAAATGCTTTGATCTTTTATCACTAATTCCTAGGAAGAAATGCATGTAGTCATCAGCGTACGGTGCGGGGGGGCTGGGGGGGCTGCAGCCCCCCCCCCTGTCGAAAAAAAATAGCATTATTCGGGCAAAACTGATGTACCGTTCGGGCAAAGACACGGTAAATAATATTTTATTATTTAATATCTTGATTTATTTGTTTTCATCCCGCATGTTGCCTATGATCCACAATGGGACAAGACCGACTTAGCAGTATCGCCGTTATTAATATTGAAAGAAGGTATGCAAACAAGACAATGCAGAATGACATGCAAAGGATTATTGCATGACATATTTGGGGGTCGAAGTAATCGTTCTTCATACTTCTTTTTGAGCTCAAATGGGTACGTTTTATCTCTCACTTCATGGTAATTATATTTGCACTATTTTGAACGCCCGTGTTCTCACGCCTCATGGCGAAGAAAACTTGACGTCACGAAAGAATCACTTGTGCATCTGTAACCAACAAGTTTCATTCGGGCAAATTATGTTCAGCTCCCCCAACAAAATTTTTCCCGTACGCCGATGCATGTAGTTCAGTCCGCAAGAGAATTTGTATGAAGATATTAGGGAGTAAAGTTAATGTGAGATCAACAAGTGATAAAAACAAATTCTTTTTATTTTTACGAGGCATCATCACAGCTTAACGTGGTTTTAAGAATAAAAGTTTAACAACAGTAAGCCCGGATGAATTGATGTGAATTCGGAAGTGAATAATTCTCTAGTGAATACATAGAAATGATGTCATTGACGGAAGGGACATGATTCTGAATTCACTTGATTTATTCATGACCATCACCTTTCAAGTATAGACGCCTAAGGGCTCCTGTTTTATATCATTGCGCATGTCGTCTATTAACGTTCCCCGCAATATTAGCAGTCCTAAAAGTATACCGAATGTTTGCGTCTATTTACGTCTCTGAGAAACTGCCCACCTTCCCCTCCCTTAAGCCAACATTTTGCACTAAGTGAGAAGTAAGTGTTAATGTTAGCTTAGGGGAGCGGTAGGTGGACAGTTTCCCAGAAACCTAAGTTGATCCGAATGTTTCCTACATGAATCAAAAAGATTATTCTCTCTTGACGGACCCAGTTAAGGACTTTATAGCTTCAACGATTCTCCTCCTGTTCCAGGCCTTCAGATAGTGAGGACGGCTTAGCGCGGCCTATGCGTTTCGGGTCACGTGGTCCGAGCGAGTAGTCTCGGATACCTC